GGTATTAAATAAGTAAATATATATCTTATAATTTTTAAATAAAAATAATTAATCATATCATGATATATTATAATTATGAATTTATAATATTATATGTTATTATATAATTAAATTTTTTTATTTAAGTAAACCACTTCATCAAAAAAGACATCCACGTTGAATTACTAACGGCATATATTGGCCACGTCAATTTTTGAGTGCCACGTACATTTTGTAACGGTACCGTGACGGCGCGTTAAAATGTTAGGTTTTTTACGGGTTTTGAAAAATGAAAGGTGTGAATAGAGAGAAAAAATTCGAAAAAGTGTTAAGAAATAAATGGAGGGTGCAAATAGGAGCTTTGGCCCCTTTTTTTTTTGCTTAAGTTAACAATGGAAAAACTCTTCTTCGTCCTTTTACCCGCTACTAGCATGCTGCATTGATTTGAATTTAAAATTTTTTGCTTTTAAAAAATCACTATTTAACTACTTAAATCGTTAGAGAAATTTTTATATTAACAAAAAATTGAGATAAATAAATAAAAATATAAATAATTATAATACAATTTAAAAAAATTATTATTATAATTTTTTAGTAGGAAAGTGACCTTAATGAATTTAAAATTTTTTGCTTTTAAAAAATCACTATTTAACTACTTAAATCGTTAGAGAAATTTTTATATTAACAAAAAATTGAGATAATTAAATAAAAAATATATATAATTATAATATCATGTAATATTATAAATTTATAATTCTAATGTGTTATTATATAATTAATTTTTTATTTAAAAATTTTCATATAATATTATATATTTATTAATTTAATATTATATTATATATTTATATAATGTCAGGATTATAAATTTATAATTTTCAATAATATTATAATTATAATTATAATATTATAATACACTATAAATTTATAACATGATATATCATAATTATATAATTAATTTTTATTTAAAAATTTACATATAATATTATATATATTTACTAATTTAATAATATATTTTAATTATAAACCTACTATTTTATTTAATATTATAAGTTGTAACTATATAATATTGTCTTAATTAAATTTAGTAACTTGCGTGCATAGTAGTAAAAAATCACGGCCCAATTCCTTGAACAAATTTGACCGAACTTAATTCCAAGCATATTCTTTCCTCCATATTAAATGGTGCATATTCCTTGTGCTATTATTTGCCTGCACATAATGATTTCCCTGTTCATCACCCATAACTTTATCTCATCATAATAACTTTACAATTAGTGTTAGCATCAAGTATATATATATACATGGATATATTCATGTATTTTGTTGAATGAAAAAAGATAATTATAATGTCAATGATTTAAATAATTTAGTAATATTATTTTTTTATAAAAAATAAAATATTTTGAATTTAAATCACATAACATTATAAAAGTGAGTTGCTTCTAATTTGTGCAATTCAAATAAAAAAAAGTTAACGATATTAATGATTAAAGATTAATTTATATTCTACAACTTTTTTATATAATCTTATGTGTAATTGATTAGCTCTTTTTACTTTAATAAAATTTATAATATTATATTATGATTATAGGTTTTA